TGGCTAGAGCTGAAACTGCTGAGCTAAGAGCTGAAACAGATGATAAAGTCAATTATGTTTATTCCTCCATTGCTTTACTAGTGGTCCAAAACTCATATTGTTATTATTAGTTTTCAGTAATTTCTTTAAAGCAAAAATGCAAAGACTTCACAGGTTCCAGCTCCTAAAATGTAAATATTTGCTGGATTTCTTCATCTTCTATGGTGGTAAAGTAAATAATAAGTTTGACTCTTGACAAAACAAGCATTGGAAATTTGTGATTGGTAGTTTTTTATTATTTTCTCCAAACAATTAATTAAGAAAATAATGAGCAGATTAATCGATCATGAAAATAATAATGGTCAATCAACGTTTTTCTTTATCATTTCTTCATTACTTTGTGTGGCTTTCTATAAGCATCCAGTAATTTACAGTAAATAATGTAGGTGAGGTTTCATTTTAGTTATTTTATCAAATCAATTTATTTTCCTCTGGTATGAAAATGTCCCAAAATATTAGTAATATCATTAATATAAAGTATTTTGGTAATTGTTTATCCTTTATTAGACAGTAAACCGTGAGTGACAAGGACTATGGCGATGGGGCTCAGCATCCTAAACCCTTAGAGCACCAGGGCGCCTGTGTTGCAACTGTTACTCAGAATGAAAACTGAAAATAAAAGGGTTTTGTGAGGATTTGGAGGCTAAAATCTAAAAAATAAATCAGTAAACTTTAGTAGCAAACCGCATGTCAGTTGCCATGGAGAGAGGCCCATGGTTACAGTTTTTATACTTGCCAAAAGGTGTCATGAACCGGGGGATATTTTTAGGCTTATAGCATTGAAAGAAAGCACAAATTCAATTGATTCTGTAGCCTTCATACAAATGTTCTGAAATTATGCTTTTCTTTGAAAATTGATTACATTACAAGGACAGCTGAACGGTCAGTATAATCCGCACTTAATACAAACAAATTAAGCAAATTAAGCTTCATTTGCAAGAACAGTCACGTGTCTTATATTATAAGAGAAAAGCACTTAGGTCATGAATGTTAACACAATATAACAAAGGAAAGTTAGGACTAGAAGAAAATGTAGTGACTTTCCACATCACTACCTTCCTGAGAACAGACAAAGGACATTTCCTCTCTTCAAAATCCAACTGTATGATTGTAACAAAAAAGTTAAACCACTCTCCTTTGATCCGCTGTGTTCTCAACCATTTAAGTTTTTGTGGAGGTGATAGCCTTGGATGATATCTAAAACACTTTGCAGGTTTCGAGGGGATCAGAGGATTAGAGATCATGTTTCTGCTGAGGTCTAGCAGGAGACAGATCAGTTCTGGACAGTTAAGCAGGGAAGAGGCAGTGCTAGCCTTGCACTAAGTAGCCTGTTATTCTCAAGAGGGCTGCACAGAGCTATCCACAGATTACTCCCTTTTCACATCAGTAAGATTCTCCAAAAACATGTTTTTTATTTATTTATTACTTTACAATTTATTGCCTCAAGACGTGAGTTATCCACCAATAAACAATACAAATTAATAAAAACAGGACTCCTTGCCCTTTTTAGAAGTTTTCATTTAGCTCCTGCTCAGATAAACCCCCTCCCCATGGCTACCCAAGACATAACACTCGCCACGTCTGATAAACCTACTGCTACACAGAGACTATGTAAAGCTTTGGAAAGCAATTAAGGCGGCGGTTCAGAATACACGAGGGGGGAGTCTCTTCTCGTCATCGTTTCTCCGCTGACAAGCACAGACAGTTAATGTGATGTGGATGGCTGAGCCTGAATTTATGAAATATTCATTTTAACACACAGGGAAGGTGGGGGTGGCCTATGTATAATTTATAACATCTGTATTTGTGTTGGATTGCGTGCCTTTTTTAGCTATTGTTCTGGTTGCCATTCCCCAAAGTGGTGATGATTAGATTGCTCTGTATAAGGTAGAGATGTCAGTGTTGTCGATGGAGGATCGCACACAGGAGGATGCAATCACTGGTAATGCACCCAGGCCTGATAGCAATAAATTTCAGGTTTGGCGGATTGACAGGGTGAAGCACCACAAGAGGGGAAAGATGAGGTGAGTAAGAGCACATGAAGAAAGGACGGAGGGCTGGAGAGACCAGCAGGATTAAACTGAGCTGTGAAGGAGCCTCCTCCCCTCCTCCTGCCCCCAACCCTTACCTCCAGCTACTCCCCCTCCCCAAAGGAGGAGAGGTTATGGTCATTTAAAGGGCTAAAAGGAGAGTGCAGCTTCAGAAAAACACAATATTCTCCAAATCTGGACAAGCAGTGGCACTACAAGGGGGCCACTCAACCTGACTTCAGGAAGTGTGCACATCCACAGATTTTTAGCTGTTTGATGATGGGGCAAGCTAAGTGGTTTTATAATAAATCCATGAGGCAAAGAGGGACAAGAAGTGTGTCTGAGCCTCAGTCATAGGCTGACAGTCCTGGCACTGTGGTCCTTACTGGCATAAGGCAGTGTGGTGTGCCAGGTGCTGATAAGGGGATTGCTTGGCACAGCAGATCAGACTCAGGCTGGGATGTTTGTTTGAGTAACAGCATGACACTAGATACAGGAGTCAATGCTGCTGTCACACCACTATTTGATTTTGTGTGTCACTGAGTGCATATAGCATGAGTGAGCCTGCCTGTGAGAAGCACATTCTGCATGCGTGGCCTTAACATTGACACAGAGCAAGATTAAATACGCCTGCTCCGACACCTCTGCGGTGCTGTGATGTTTGTTTTGGTGGAAAAGCTGTGATTCCTCTGGGCTTTCCCTTCATTATCAAAGCCTGCTTATCCTGGGAGATACAAGATAGGATTCTCCTGAGGGAGTGGTGGAAGGAACACCCGTCTGGTATGTCTGTGGGAAGAGCCTGCAAAGGGTCATACAGATCGATACAAAGGTCAACCAATCAATGCACTACAGAAGTTCATTTGGCTGGACAACCCTTTCATGTCTTTGAGCTTGGAGATACTCCTCGAGAAAGGTAGACATGAAAGCAACATAGTGTGGAGGAATCTGCTCACATGATGCTAATGTACTGACAGGTTGGGGAAAATGGATGAGTGTCAATCACATGTCTCCCAGGTGGAGGATACTGTGCTTCAAGTGCCCAGATGATGTATGCAGAGCGTGTTTCTACTCTCATACACCAACACAGTGTTCTTGAACTACCTGCCTGTCAGAGATGGCATTTTGATTTGCAGATTTGCATCGTGCATGCTTGATTTGACAGCCAGACAGAGCAGCGAAACCAATCTCTCCATCTATCAAAGGGACAAAGTTTTGCTCTGCTCGCTGATCTGACACATGTCAGCGCATAATCACAGCAAACATACTGGCACTCTTGCCTGAAGGTGTCATCAAATCACTGACGCATGACGGGTTTACCAACTGAGACACGACAGTGATCAATATTCAGAGCAGATCTTCTAAAACAAGTCCAGTGGAAGGAAAAGTACTGATGTACTGTTCACAGAGTAATTATCAGTATCAAACAAAACTGCCAATATGATCAAATGATTCATATAGGACCAGCCTGTGGCCACACCCTAACAAACACAGGATTTACTCCGATGATTAAATGTGTCTAAAATACTATTACTCTTTGTATGAATTGAGCAAATGAACACAAACACCTGAATACACGAGTGAGCAACCTAATAAATGCAGATAGATTCCATACATGTCACCAGATCTCAACCCAGTTGGACACCAGCCGGACACTTTGGAATGAAGTGTTGGTGCTCTCCATCACCATCATGAAAATTTCCAAATGAGGGAAAATCTTTTGGAAGAATGCTGTTAATCCCTCCAACATGACTTGAGGAATCTGTAGCTTTATTTATGGCTGTTCACATAACCTTTTAAACGTGGCCCATATCAGATTCCAGTGTAAACAGGTCACGTCCCTGAAGTGAACCATATATATATAAACAGAATCTTGTCGTTTTGCTGCATTAAAGCAAAAAGGTGTACAGACGGCTTAACAAGAAATGTCATTCCAATCTTCCAATTAATCAATTCAAGCCCCGGAGAGAAGAGCTGCATGAAATGGTATATAAATACTTCACAGTTTTTGGTAACATTTAGCTCTTGTTTTCTACAAAGGTTGAAAGCACATATTGTAGGTCAACTTTCAGCCAAACATAAGTATTGATTTCATGATATTTTGACCTCAAATATGCTAAAATAATACAGCATCAACACAAACATGCTGTACATCCTCTTTATCCACACCACCAGATACTTTTAATGTATGAAAACATGAACCAGTGATCTATTCCCATCATATTTACAGTCCATTGACAAGTCAGAGAGGTTAATTCATGACCTGCAAACCAAAATGATTTTATAATCATTACTGCTCAAAACTCCCTGAAACATTTCCGATGAAAAATCTGAGATCTACTCATCACATCTAACAACTTTACAAGAGCTGTGTGGGTGAAAACTCAGACAGAGAAAGAGAGAGGAGACATTCACCCTGAGAGATATAAGAGACTAATAATAAAAGATTAAATTAGCTCCAATAATACCACTGTGCTTGTATAAAAATTTGACTAGAGTTTTTCCAGTCTCCAAGGTTATTCATATGCAGAACAAGGGCTGGTGAATTTCAATGAGAACATGACACGGGTCTTGAAACCGTCCTCATGGTCTTGTTTGAAGGCTCTCATCAGATAATAGTTGTTGATGGCTGGCAATCAGAGGTATTCACAATGACAGACGTTGGAAAATAGGAGCTCTTTCATTATCAACAAATACTGAAAAGGATAGTGCTCATTCGGTTCACTGGTTTAAATTCAAGGCAAAATCAAGATTAAAAAAATTATTAAAAAAAATGAAGAAATGTAATGAATCAGTGACTATAGGGGGCTTCTCAATAGCTTTCTCTCTTACTTTTGGCAGTAAGAATTGCACAAATTATGAATTTTCAATGGCTACAAAGCAATAATGCAGCAGAAATTTACAGTTTCATAAGCTGCCATGAGGTAGTCTCACCTTCTGGAGGAAGAGCACAATTCTCTGGACCATCTCGGCTCGCTGCTCCTCCAGGCTGAAGAGGGTGCGTGGTGTGCGGATGAAGACCTTGGTTTTGCCGTAGGCCACGTCGTGGTCAAATCCACACCCCTGCAGGAGCCTCTTCACTGCATCTTTGTCTGATGGCAAGTCATGGTTTGGCCACGTAAACTCTGAGATCATCTTGTATCTGGAGGAGGGAAAAAGTATCAGAAAATGCATTAATGTGCAGCCAACAGAGACTTAATGTATTAAATTAATCGGTTCAAGAATGTATTCACTGAAATTATACATCAATATAGTGATACTCTTTATACCTTTTAGGTAGTTACTTAAAGTATTACTCCATATCCTCAGATCATGATATATCTGGAAATACTGTATAGTGCCGTATAGATCTTAATTACTAAGCAAGCATGGGGCTTTGCTCCTGGCAGGGTGCGATGAAAATCATATCATTTAGTACATGAAAAGGGGATTAATTATCGTACAGTGCACCTGCTGCCCGACGCGGGGGGGTAAAAGGTCTTTTCGGTGCTATAAATCCACTGAAATACTCCACAGCAAGCTTTAAAGGCATTGTATTATTTTTTTTGTATTCTAAAGAAACTTTATGTACGGCTTGAAGGATGGTCAGCAGAGCTGAGAAACAGCTTGTGCTGCTGTCAGTCAATATAATTCCTTCCTGTGTAAGTTCCAACAAAAGCAAGGCTCTTTGAATTTGTGTGGGTTGTTTTGACACGGAAAATCACTCCTGAGGAGGAAGAAGGACAGCTTTAAAAAGGACAGTGACAGGCCACCACAGCAAGTGAATATTAATCATGTTTTTTCAAAAAAGGTGAGCATGAAATCACTATGAATTTACAACATTTTCTATATTTTCTTAATGTTTTTTTCAACCTTTTTGCACATCGAAAAGCACAGAATAACCCGAAGTTCATGTCAAAACTGATGAATAAAATTAAGATTATGAGGCTATTCCAAGACAGCAGTGATACTCTCTGTCTTCCAAGATCCAACAGACTGCGTCCCTGTGTCACTTCACAGCCGACCCACTGGCAGGCAAGGCTGTGATGTAATACCAAGTCCAAATACATCAGCGAGGGGGATTGGAGTGACAGAGTTGGATGACTCGATAGCATGTTATGCAAAAGACTCATTACCTAATCCTCCGTCCTCCACGACGGGTTCTACGAGGGCAGTGGGGAAATGTGACAGCTGGGGAACGAGGGCAAGGCTACAACAAGTGTGTGTGTACTATTAGGAGTGTTGGTTAGCATAATGTGTTGTGTTATGGTGACTTAGTGCCGCCAGCTTGTAGCCAAAAGTATCATTAAAAAACAAGTCAAGACCAGCCTGTCAGGGTTAAGCTCTCATCTATTAAGCAACTGACCTGCTGTAGCATGAGTGCAAGTGCAACATGTGAGTGAAACCTTCTGGTTCTTCACTCCCACTCGTGGAATATCACCTGCAGAGGACATTTGTCCATTGCTCATCTCTGAAGTCTAACCCAGATCTATAACCCAGGTCTCTTTTTGTTACGAGCCAAGACTGAACATTCTTATGAAAGCTCAAGATTGTAGATATTTAGGGTTGCTGGTGATTAATTGTTTAGTCTACTGTATGAAATATCACAAAATGGTGTAATATATCTTCTGACATCTTCTTTTGTGCAACCGTAAGTCCAAAACCCAAAGACATTCAATTTAAAAATATATAAAACACAGATGAACAGCATCTTCAACACATGAGGTATAACCAGAGAATATTTGTGATTACTGCTTAATTAAACAATGACAAGAATTATCCATTCTCAAAACTGTGTACTTTCTTTAGATCAACCAATCAATTATCGACAAATTGGTTCAACTGATACCATCAGCCTATTTTAGCGTCTTCACAGATATATTTTTTTCTGTGTGTTGGCCAATAAGTAATATCATTATAGTTTTTGTATATGCAGTCTATATGAATATACTGGTCCTTTATATAATGATGTAATTTGCTCAGTAGTTAATAGTATAGAGTACAAACCAGACAAGCAAAAAAACACATGCAGCATTTCCTTACTACACACCACAGTGCTGAAACAAACTCCCAGAAGATCAGTGGTGGAAGAAGTATTTTATTCCTTATTCAAGTAAAAGTAGCAATGCTGCCCTGTAAATGTACTCTGTTACAAGTAAGAGGGTTTTATGTAAAAGCACATTGAATTGCCTTTATGAAATAAACTATTACGTTAATAAACTATATTAATAAACTTGCCTTTAACTTTCATAACTTTGAGTTAAATCTTCTAATCTCAACTCCAGTATAAACTAATGTGTAAAACTTCACTGAAATGAATTAACTTCTATTTTTGTTGACATAAAATGTCATAACAAATCCTGTACATTTTGTAGTTAAATTTAAGGACGTTTATGTTAAAGGTTATTCATATTTGCCAGAAAAATCAGATTTTTATGACTCTTAAATTAAATTTCTATCAGCCTCAGAAATCCATTATCAGTACTTTGTTTGCAAGCAACTTCATGCTAATTGGGATGTAAACAGAATTGTAATATCAGGTGTTTTAGCTTCTACAGGTTATGAATAAAACATGAGTTATTAACGCAGTTCATTGACTCGTAGTTGTTTACTACTTTACCAAATTAAAACAGGGTATTTTACTCAGCAAACTGAAATGTTTCTCTCTAGTAATTATAATCCAGTCGTCTTTTGAACAATGTCGGAAGGACAAAAATATTATGCTTGTAGGAAACTGACAAAATTAGTGGTACTGTTAAAAATCACAAGCTGATGATGATTAAGGGGTTTTTGTAATGGCTGCTGGAGATGCAACTGATTGGCTGCAAGATTAGATTAGCTGCGAGCTGATTAGGTTTACACAACACATATTCACACCCCACAGTCACAGGAGTTGTCATGTAATATCTTTCATGGCTGCCCAATGTGGAGCTTCTGGGGTTCACCATGTTTGTCCAGAACACTTATGTAAATGTGGAGCGTGTGAGGTGAGGGAGGAGGTTTTAATCACTTCTACTCAGCCTCACGAGCAAACCTTCAAACCACAACCCTAATATGATTTGACAAATACTTTATTTATTAAAGATGCCTATAATATGGGCCATTTTCAGTAGATTACAGGCTTAATCCAATAAAACAAATGAATCTGCTGCAGGATTGACCACTAACAACATGACTAACTGAAGAACTTTCATTTGAGCTATTTGTGCTATCTGTTTTACACATTTCACTTTGACTTGTGTTTGAGATTTTCTATATATTTGTTATTATTGTATTATAGTTTTCAAGGATTTCCTATGTGTACACTGTTCAACTATATTTTGATGTACTATTGGTAGTTTCTATAATCAGTCACATGGATGTGTGCACTCTAGTTGTCTGTGACCATGTCTGTTTGCCCCCTGGATCCTTGTCCTTTGTGCCTAACAATATGTGCTTGAAATTTAATTTTTAATGTAATGTGGAGCCACAATGATGAATGGGTTATGTGAATTTTCAAGAAAAATGCCAGACATTCTCTGATTAAAACTTCTGAAATAAAATGATTTGATGCTTCTCTCTGTTGTGTATGACAGTATGGACAGAGTATTTCACTGGTGTGATTAGTTGCAGCCCAGCATGTAATAAATAAAAACATGTAGGGGGAAATTCAACATATAACTCGCTGAAACAAGGTTGAAGACAAGGTGTTTAGAATGATTTTTAGGTTGTGTGTACCTCTGTAGGAAGCGAGGGTATGTCTGTCTGTAGGCGAAGCCGGCACGTCGCACTCTGACGTTCTCCAGCAGCCCGAGGTATTCCACCTGATGGCGACAGCGCTCCTGCTCGAAGAGTAGAGGGGACTTGACATCGTTGGGCTTGATGCAGCGAACGTAGTAGGGTTCCTACAGAAGGTAACAATGTGTTAACAACTGCTGAACATCTGTTTAATCTGTATTTAACTTGTAAGATGGACCAATAGTAAATTGTTATTATTATTCAGAGTGACACCTGAGGGAGCACATCTTGTATACGGAGTTACTGGTTGGTAACATGGGGGAGAATATTATCTAAAAAAAGAAAAAATCTGATGTGACTATGTGTCAAATGTTTATGTGATTAAAGGTATCTTTCCAGTTTTTCTAATGGTATAAGTTTTTGTTGAAGAAAAATGGAGAAAACTTTTTAAAACTGTTGAATATTGCTGGAATGATCAGGAAATTAATAGACTAGTCAAACTACAGAAAAAAATAAGAAACTATTTTGATAATCAACCTAATTATTTAAAAAACATTTTAGCTCCAAAACATGTTGTTTTGTTTTTTCAGCTTCTCAACTGCTTTTCTACCGACCACATACTGATTATTTTGGGCTGTTGGTTGAACAAATTAAGCAACCTGAACATGTCACTTTGGGTTCTGAGAAATTAATTGATGAATCAAGAAAACAATCATTAGTTGCAGGCCTACTGGTTAAGTCATGTGTTGCTTTCAGTTGACTCATTTCAGTTTCCCTGGGTTGGATCCATTTTAAAAGTTTGACAGTACAAATTGTGCAACAAATTCTGACTTATGACTTATGAAGACTAGATTATTTGATTTAGCATGTGATCAGATGTTGTATGTCCCTATTCTGAACTTAGGTACGTAAGTCCTGCATAGCGTGTTGATTGATCACTCTGTGTTAACAGGATACAATACAGCAGATAACAAAACAAGCCTCGAATTTGCACAAGAAACGTACATGGAGCCTAGTTTGAGGGCACAAAAAGGTGTGAAGTGATGTGAAGTGTGCATAAACTCTCAGAGTGGGCTGTGCAGTTTCAGAATTTGGGCAGCGAGTAAACCGTGTTTAGCCTCCGCTACAGCCTTGGATGTAATGCTGCTTGGTTCATTATCAGTTCTGACTACTCACCTTGCAGGCCAGGTTCTCCACCAACGAGATCATGGAGTTTTTGAAGAGTGTTGCAGCTGTCAGTGGTCGTTTGGTGACCTCCGTGATGCTCAGTTTGCCCTCAGGCCACATCCCCTTCAGTACTGGGTTAGAACTGAACAGACAAACGTAAAAGGAAAAGATATTACAACACATACATGAGTATGTGAGTATGAGTAAAAACAGCTCAATTCAGTTTGGCCATCCAACATTCATAAGAGACTTGTTGCAAGTCTTCAAGTCCAAACAATATAATAAGCAAGAGCTAGATCATTTATTTCATTATTATATGTCAATTTACATTTTAATGTAGGTGCAACTTCAACAAGGAAAAGGTTTTCATTCGTCATAAGCCTCCATATTACAACATTTTTGACTGCTATCCAAAAATCCTGCTTTTGACTTGTGTAAAGAGTATAATAAAATGCATATTAGACAGGTCAGGAATTACTAGACCTCACATTTATATTTCGCAGAGGAAAAACACCAGAGGATTGGAGAGGAGGAGGAGGATAAGAGCGAGCTGAGAGGAGATTAGTTGTACTTGTCCTGTGCTGTTTTTTTCTAGAGGGGTGTCATGTAATCAAAATGCTGCAAGGAATACAGCGAAGAGTGTGTGGAGGTGATTGAAGTGGTGTGTGTGTGTGTGTCACCTGTTGTACAGCAGTCTCTTGAAATCCTGGAACAGTGTGTCTTTGTTCTTATCAATAAAACCCACCACTGAGTACCTGCGAAGAGAGAGAGGCAGGTAAATGCACGTGTGCGCACACCCACACACACTTTTCTTTTTCTCGCACAAACCATCCTGTAACATCATAACTACATGATTACTGTGACCTAAATCTGACTCTGAATCATCCTGAAACAAAGAACTCACATTAATTGTGAGTTTTTTAATTGTGAATAGTGTTTCAGGTGATCTTAATATAGCCTCATGTTAATGCGTGCTGTTAGTGAGGAACCTGCTATAAATAACAGATTTGTTCTACATCATGCTGTGAGATGGTGTAAGTGCCTGGTCTAAGTGGCCCAGGGATCAATCAAGTCTGCCAGTCAGGCCCTGCTCCCTGCCTGAGTCGTCCCTTGGGTGGCAGACACTCAGCCCTCACAAATGGGCTCACACGTCTCCCTAAGAGCACTTTTTGGGGGCTTAGCGTGTGTGATTTATACATTTGAATGATGTTCAAGTACTTTGGGGATTGAGAAGCGGTGCTGTCATTTTCGGGGGACATCATGCAATAAAGATGTACTTTGTAGTGTACATGCAAGTATGTGTGTGTGTTTTTTTAAGTGTCTCAGTTTTGAATGTCAAGTTGCTGTTAATAGTTGGCTGACATTTTTTTACGTTGTTTTTTTAGGCTTTCATTTTGAATTGTATTCAGGCACTGCAAGACATTTTTTTAAACTTTAATTTAAAAATGCTGACAATTAAAAGTTGCAGTCCAGTTCACCGAAATGTTTTAGGTTTGACAGCAGAAAGTGGTGTGTCATTTTATTTTATTCACACAAACATGGTCATAATGTTATGGCTACTTTTCCATCCACATGTATGAGTTCTAGCTGTGTTGCTGAAGTTTCAGTAAAGTTTTGTCTCTCTGATAAAAAAAAAACATATACAGTTTATCATCAATACATGAACACAAATAATATAATTCAGACTCCATACATACAAATTTAAAAAAACAATTTAAAGGCACATTTATAGTTCTGATACAGTGACTGCCTAAAATATGGGATAGAGTATCAACAAGCAGTGTTGAATATTCAAACACAGACGGCCGAGCAGACAAAGGAACCAGGGTTATGAAAGAGAATATTTGGTCATAATCTAGTCATAAAGTGTGAATGAGCAGTGCTCCCACGTCCCCAAAACAACCATAAAGTTTCATTTAGGAACTCCCATCTGCTCTTGAAGTGGCCAAAAGTATAAGACTGTGGTTTCAGTAGGCAGCTCTGGGACATGAATATGTAAAAATGTACAAATGTGGGAAAAGAGCATGAATCACTGGTAAAAGCCTTTCCTGAATAAATAAAACTTTGAGATACTTACACCACATCTCCTGCATAGTGCCTGATGCGAAAGTCTCTGTCAAACTCCAAACTCTTGTCAGTCGGCGAGAGCTGCAGAGAGACAGAGAGCAGAGAGTGAGCAAAAAAGGCTTTCATTCAACTTTCAGTCGACATTTATCTGTATACTATGTTGTTATGCTAGCGTTATAATGCAAGTATTACATCCAACGTTTAGTTTGCTATCACTTTAAATATTCGAATTCTAAATCCCATTATTATTACATTATTAAGTCTCAAGTCCTAATGAGGAAATTGGAAGTCAAGTGCAAGCCCTTCTGTTATCGCTCGCTCAGTCTTTTATGTATTACATAACTTTGAACTTTACTTTTTCCACCTCTTCAGACTAAACATATAAAAATGTCTGCCTTTGCCTTGTGTTTTCTGGCTGCTCTTTGTTTTGAATAAATAATGTCCAACCATGAAAGTAACCAATGCCTTTGACTTAACATAAGAGGGATCCTATAGTAAACAGCGAGAACTTGTGCTGCTCTCAAACCTGTGAGATTTCTCTTCATTGTAACCATGATTAATTATGCAAGCAGTCATCATCGTGGCATTTGAACATTTTTATGCATGAAACATTTTTAAGGATATAGTCAAATAAACAGCAGGCAGCGGATTCCAATCGAATGTGGCAAATACCACAGCTACCCAGTTACAGAGGTCCCCTAATAAATGTTGGCTATAAATCTGGCTTCAATATCATTTGCAAGTTTGTTTTAACCTCTCTGAAGTTGCAGTTGTGTGGTTTTCCCACATCAGGACTGTTTGGGTAAATTGTCCATCTTAGAAATGTATGCTCAATTGGATTGCAAACAAACCTGTCTGGATTCTTAAGCAGTCCTTTTGTTATTACTCTACACAGGAACACTACGAATGCTTTGCAAAACTGCTAGAGCTACTGCAATAGCAGATGCAGTGATGCGGAAAACACTGACACTGTCAGGGAGGATAAAGCCTTACAGAAAAGAGGACAGGGAGGAGAGCGAGAGAGACAGACAGAAAGAAATGTGCAAGACGTGATAAATAAAATGTTAGAATGGGGGCATCAGAGACATGAAATAAGGACTGAGGAAGAGAGGTTAAAGTAGCGTGACGGGAGTAGACAAACAAAAAAAGAGGAAAGTGGGAAAGAGTGTGTGATACCGATGCCTGTATGTAGGCCAGTTAGCAGGAGAGCAAGAAGAAGCATGAATGGGAATGCACAGCAGTATCCTGTCACTAAAAGTATTACGCTGACATCAGAGATTTTAGGGAGACAGCAGTGGAGAGAGGTATCCCGCTCTCTCATAACACTCCCAAAGAGAGGGAGGTAATTAGCATAGAATTGGCCAAGAGTACAGGGAGCAGCAAGATTAAAGCTACTGATAACAAGGACTGATGTCTAAATACAGACACAGAAGACAAATATAGACAGATACACAATAAATAAACAATAAAAAAAGCATGTGGACATTCCTGTGCAGCTTTAAAGGACATTTTAAGAGGAAGCTATGTCCAAATTTCCAAACCCAGCCAACTCCTCTAAATTTCTTCATTTAACAGCATGTGTCTTCTTTAACTTCTGAGCAGTGTCTTGCCACAGGTTGCCAGATTAGGTCAGTGAGCAAAGGTTTTGGTCTCAGTACACGGAGAATGGTATTAAACCTGGCATCCTCATAGAAACAAGACTCAGTGATGCTGCGCACAGCTGTTGTTTGTCAGGAACTTCCCGTAAAACAACCAATTTCCTTTCATCAATTTCATATTTCTGTCTGTGTGCTGATTAAACAAAACAATACAATGTGTCTAGTTAGCTGGCTGTTTTTCTCTGTTTCTGGTCTTTATGCCAAGCTAGGCTAAAGTGGTGGCTGTAGCTCAGTCCATAGTGACTTGGCCTGGCGTTTAAGTCCAGCTTTGACCACAGTGAGAGTGTGAACTGGTGCACTACCGATGTGCCTTTGAGCAAGGCTCCGAACCCCTAACTGCTCCCGGGGGCATTGCTACTCCACCACCTCTCCACATTTGTTTGATTGTCACATTTGTGATTGTGAAAAAAACTGAGGATTAATAAAGTTGACAGCAGTGTGCTTCCAACTTTTGTCCCTTTGCTGTTTTAACTAGACATTTTCCCTGGGCACAAAGCCTGACCCATAAAGAAATGGTTTTCCAGTTTTGTGTGGAAAAACAGCCTGCACAGAGTCCTGACCTCAACCACATCCAACACCTTTGCGAAGAAGCGGAACGCAGTCTGTGAGCCATACCTCATCACCCAACATCAGTGTGGGACCTCACAAATGCTCTTGTGGCAAATCCCTGCAGCCAGGCTCCAAAATCTTGGTTTTAGAATGAGATGTCACACATGTGAAATGTGTGGGTGTCCACATACTTTTGGCCATGTAGTGCA